GGCCTCGACGGTCCTGGAGGAAGGTGTGTCGAGCCCTCATAGCAGCTGGAGGAAGGTTCCCTAGTGGGGGCGCGGGTCCTCCTTCACACGAAAGAAGCCTGAAGGAGACATCACATACGGCCAGTCAGAGCAACACTTGTCCTTGTCTGTTCAATAGGCTAGAGGACCCAGCAGGAGGAAGAGGTCCGGAGCCAGATTGGTTGTGTGAAGACGTCTTTTCTTGGTGTTCTATTGTGTATACATTTTATTCATTTCAACACCCCCCCCCCCCGCCGTGTGTGTGTTTGACAATGCCAAGTATTTTTTGGAAAAGATCTTTCTAGATACTCTAAAGTGCCTGATATATTTTATAAGTAGCAGTAGTAGTAAAACAACACATTATGTAAATACGTTTTTGTTAGGATTCATTTGAAATATTGTTTGGGGAGGAATAGACAAAGCCCTCCTGAGTTGACCGCATTGTGGTTGTCCCCCGGTTTCTAGGAGAAGGAAATGTAAAGCTCTAAGTAATTGAGCTCCATGGGTGGAAAAGAAACTACTGTCCCATTTTGTTTGGCTTTGCTGTGTACGTGTGTGTGTGTGTGTGTGTGTGTGTGTGTGTGTGTGTGTGTGTGTGTATGTGTGTGTATGTGTGTGATAAAGGAGTGCTATTTTCAACATCTATCACTCTAGATGTTAAAGAGGTAGCCAGTGTATGACAAAGTAGAGGTAGTAGAACAATATTTTGTACTTTTGTGTTAACATTTTTCTTTTTGTGTTAAAAATTTTTAATTACTACTCTTGTTAATTATACCATTTACTGGACTGCTGTGTACATAGTGAACAACAGTCCTTACTTGAAACATCTGGTCTATCTAGATGTTTATAAGTGCCCAACATGTTAAATGTAGAGGTAGTAAAATATCACTTTTTAAATATCTTTTTACTAAAATTAACGAAACGCTGCCTTTGGGGGTGGAATTATGAACTCCTCTGTGAGCATATGGGAAGATACTTGTGTTTGTTGTGTACAAAGTTCATCCCACAACATCTGAACTTCATGAATGCCCTAAAGAGAGCATATGGTTAAAAGTATATCTTCATAGACTGACAGAAGAGGTGACTCTTGAACATAGAATTGCTAAGCCATGACTGGACAGTGTGAGTTAATTCATGTTGCTAGGTTGACTGGAGGGGCAGAGAGATGTTCACAAACTTGGATTTTATTAGATAGTCCATGGATCTTATGGGGAACACTGTCAACACAAGCGACCCAAATTAGTTTAAGGTAGGTGTGTGTGTGTGTCTGACTTTATTGAACATCATGTATTCTATGTTTCTCTTTGCTCTCTCTGATTCTGTATTGATTTTCCTCACTCTAATCCAACTAAAGCTCCGTCCTCTTTTTTCTATTTCCTCCTTCATATCATCTATTTCTTGCTATTCCCCTTTCTATAGCTCACCTTATGTATTTCCTTTTTATTTTTCTGGTGTCTGTAGTTTCTTCAGTGTATTACTTCACAGATTTGAATTAGGAAAAATGTGGGAGGGAAAATGTGAATTTGCTTTTCTGGATCTAAATTATTATGGCCTTCAGTCATTTTGTTGTGTTTTTACTCTTTGTTCTTTTAGGCATACTTTATGTATCAGTGACTATCACTTCATTTGTTTTCTTTCTGTAGTTTCTTGGCCATGTCTATATATCACTTAATCCTAAAGTATTGCTTCTAGTATTCTCTATATAGATGGTCTCATGGACATGAAGTCTGTTAGCCTATTTTTATCATGGTTACTTTTTCTTTCTTCTTCATCTATGGCAGATAATTTTGCTGGGTACTGTAATTCAAGGTTGGCAAGTAGGATATTTTAGAACTTAGCATACATTGCTCCAATCTCTGACAGCTTTCAAAATTTCCTAGAGAAATCATGTGCTGCTGTGATGGATTTTCCTTTATATATATAACTTGTATTTTTTCTCTTACGGATTTCCATTGTTCTGTATGTTTTGTGTTTTAACTGTGATATTCTATGTGGAATTTCTTTTATTGTTTTATTTATTTGGTATTTCTGGTTTTCTGGTATCTATATGGGTTTGCCTTAGGTTAGGGCAGTTTAATTCAATAATCTGTTTAAAAAGCCATTCTATGCCATTGATTTAGTATTTTTCTTCATCTGTGTGTATAATATGAAAACATGTTTTTTCAAATATGATTATTATTTTTTTTATTTTGTGTGTGCCCATTTTGGCTGTATGTGTGTCTGTATATCACATATGTGCCTGGTATCAGAAGAAGCCAGAAGAGGTTATCAGATCCCCTAAAACTAGAGTTACAACTGGTTGTGAGTCACAATATGGCGGCTTGGAATTTAACTCAGATTCTCTATAATAGTTGGTGGTAAAGTGGTGATTGTTGTTTCTCCTCCAATATCCATTATTCCTTTCCCCCCCTCTATTCTACCACTGAGGGAATCCAAGGTAGGAACTCAAGACAGGAATCTAGAGGCAGGAATTAAGGCAGATATCCTCCAAAAATTCTATGTATTACCCTGATACACTGGCCCACTCAGCTTGCTTTTTTATACACTCCATGGCCACCTGTCCAAGAGAGACATCACCTACAGTGGACTATGCCTGCTCACATAAATCAGTGATCAAGGAAATACTTCACAGATATGCCTGCAGGCCAGCATAATTAAGGAGATTACTCAGTTGAGGTTTCTTCATCCCAAGTGATTTTGCTCATGTCAAGTTGCCAAATATATACATCACAGTTGGAACCTTCTCAGCTTGACATATAACCACATCACTATTAAATTATATCCTTTCCTATCTTGTTGATTTTTCAGAACTCACGTTAATATCACAATAGTGGAATAATTTAATAATCACACTGGAATAATTTAAAATTCCCACTATTAAAAAATTCAGATTGTATAAGTTTCAAGTCCTTTAAAGTATCAAAATTCTCTTAATGATGGATTCTCATAAAATTAAAACAAGCTAAAAATAACTTTTTTATTCCAAAAGGGAAGAAGCAGTAAAGAGTTAAATCAGATCAAAGCTAAAACTCAATCCATTAGAGCAAATTGTTCATTGAATGATATTTGGAACTTACATATGACTTTCTTGACTCCAATGGAATGGAGAATACCCAATTCACAAAATTAAAAGCAAACAAACAAGCAAAGTCTTGATGAGGGGGCTGTAGTGTGGCCGAGTGAGTCACACAGTGTACCCTTCAGTCCAAAACATCTTTTCTTGCAAGTCTTCCACAACTCTAGATTCTCTACACTGAAGGTAATGGACCTTCACTTACATTCTTCTTGGATATCCTGGAGATGTCTTGTGCCATGGAGATCCTGCAACTTTGGATCTGCAACTTTGGTCCAGCAGTTCATAGATGAAGAGTATGTTAGGGTAAGATAACTCACAGCACTGGTTCTGGACCTGGGTGGAGACTGTGGTTTGCCTAAAACCTTTCCTCATCTAACCACCATTCAGGAAACCCCTGCATCACTGCTCCAGTTAGTTCACTCAATGCAGCAGGTAGAATGGAGAGAGTCCAATTATTCTGCTCTCATGGCCTGGAATCTGACTTACACACTTTTGGACCACAAGGGACAACTCCACTGTTTTCCCCCGTTAAGGTGTCTGACCCAAAGTCCCCATTGCTGCAGTTGGTAAGAGCCTGACCATATCTTCTGCTCTTATGGCCCAGAGGCCAACTCTCTCACCAGCTGAGGTGATACACTCTTAGGTGGGGAAGGCATTTTTTTCCTCACCCTTGCCAACACAAGGTAGAAGAAGGGGATGAACTCAGTTCATTTGCTCTCACGTCTTTAGGCCAGCTCACCTGCACTATCACAAACAAGGTCAGTTTTACTGTGCTGCTCAATTCACATGGCAGACCCACTTTCCCAAGTGCTGCAGTTGGGGAAGGACAGGTCCAGTTCTGACCAGTGGTGTAGATTGTGAAGGGTAGGGTTAACTCCGTGTTAACATATCTTATTTCAGTGATAACAGGAGCCAGTGACATCAATGTAACCAAGGCTGTGGCAGGGCCACAGATCAAGACATGGCCTTTGACAGTAGCTTAGGCATGAGGGACACAAGGATTGCTGGTGACAGCACTGGCCACTCAGATCTGTATGGCCTCAGCAGCAGCACAGTCCTTGAACATGAACATGATCCTAGGTGATGGTCCAGACCCATTTCAATTTCTGTGTGGCCTTTGGTGGCAACACAGACACTGGAAATCAGCAAAGATCCTACCTGCCTTTTCAACGTGGACCCAGACACGGTCCTAGACTGAAGTCCAGGTCTGGATGTCACCATGGTAATGGTTGCCAGTGCAGGTCACTCAGTTATGTATGGATCAAATAGCAACATTTTCCCAGGTAGTGGGCCAGAGTCTAGGCATCTACAATGTCATTGATGTCAAGAGGAGCCTGAGTCAGTAATGTAGCCCCTGGGTGCAGCAGGGCCTTTGATCCACAATTGGCCCTCAGTAACAGTCCTTCTCCAGATGTTATTATGGTCCTAGGTACAGCACCTGCTTGTAAGACACACATGCCCTCTTTGTAGGCATGTCTCTTTGACACCCACATAGTCACAGGTATGCCCCTGACTGAAGGTTGCTGCAAGGCCCTCACTGGTAAAAGGAGTCAAGTATATCAACAGGGATACCCACATCTGTGTCAGGGCCAAGGACAAGAAATGACACTTGGCAACAGCCCAGTCAGGGACATCGTCATGACCCCAGGTGGCAAGCAGGACAGGGATTTTTTTCATACTCACTTAGTAAATATTTTCATTTCCTGAGAGGCTGCATAGCCATACTTCTGTGTTTCTCATTAATTTGATGCACATGATCATTTCATGAAACGTGTATACAGAATGCTATATTATATGAATAACTAAATAATTTCTACAAGAATACAGTATGCATATTTTTTCCATAATGAAATGGCTATACACAGAGTTGCCAACACCATCCACATCCAAACATTCTGTAGCCCAAGCTGGGAACACAAGAGATCTGGGGTTACAGGAGAATTTGGGGCTACTAGAAGGAGACACCACATTTGACCAAAGAAATTGGTTCTAAGATAGAAGAGTTGGAAATTAATTTATATTCATAAAAATACTAAATAGGAACTTACAGGGAATATTCAATATAAACAGTGAATAGATTTAGCAAAATACAAAAACAAAATGAAGAACAAATAGAAAAATTCAAACCATAACAAAGAAATCCAAAAAAACAAGAGCAAACAAAACCAAACCCAAACTAAATAAACAAAGCTAAGCAGCACTCTCTTGTTACAGATGTAGCAGCACAGACCTACAACCTGTGATGTCCTTGAAATCTTGGTAGGAAGGCAGTCAACAGATAGAAAAAGCCTTTTGAAAGCTAGTATAGCCATGTCTACCCTCCATGTTGCTGTACCCTCAAAGTCTGTTGAATGTCTAGGTTCTCAATAATTCTTGTCCCAGGTTTTCTGCATCTCAAACTCCTTATTGATGCTTTCTTTTCCTTAGGAGTACTGAGTCAACAGACAGCTGGGTCTTACTGGGGATGAGACACATGGAGGTCAGGTGTTATTTGCCTCACTGATGACTTCTCCTGAGGCCAAGATCTGAGGTTGTAGAATGTCATGATATCAAGGCTTCTTTGGCCTCCTCAGTTCTTTCAAGATCTGCTGTATGAGAAGGAAAGGCAATCAGACCCACAAGCAGCCTAGGTGGGCTGCAGACTAGAAAATAATCAGGACCTATTCACATTGGAAGCCAATGTCAAGAGCCCCTAGTCCCCACGGCAATGCTGTGTTTACTGTGGATGGGAGGCAATGGTGGTTCACTTACCTGTGAGATTTAGTGCTCCTGCTGCAGCAGTTCTGTCTGTAGGAGGCTCTCATCCTGGGCTGAGGCTGGTTCCAACTCAGACTGGAGATTTTTTGACCTAGAGTAGGAAGGCAGTTAAGGAACAGGCCTGGTAGGGACCTGCCCTGTCAGCTATTCAGCTCTGTTAAGCTGGACACTCAGCGTGAGATTTCAGCTGTGGTTATTCCCTGCAATCCCCAAGGGAGAAGGGTCAGAGTGCACCTGGGCCTGGATTTATTCAGCTTCTAAAATCTGCTGGGAGATGAACTGATAATCACACTGTGCTGGGAGAGGAAATACATCCTATTTCTCTAGTTGTCTGGAAGTATTATTTTTAAAGAAAATGAAAGCTTAGCATTGTCTGAATATCATTTTAGGACAGATATGCATGTCCGTCATTAGACACCATGTGAGTGTGAGAAGCCATGGAACCTGAATGTTGACCCACTAGGGAGCCTATAAAATAAAAGCTTTGAAGGTTATAATTATTTCTACAATACAAAAATGTGCCTGGGTTCAACTCACAACCCCTAAATATTCTTATAAACAGAAAACTCATTTTCAGGAAAGGGATGCACACCACAGAGAGCCTGTAATCTGAAGGCGTGAGCTGCATGAAGATCTGCCCAAAGATATGAACTTCTCTTTAATTATGATGTTCTGGGCGGAAACTAAAGTGGCAGCAGCACACACTGTCCTCCACAACTAAACCTACTTCTTCTAGGTTTAGGAATACCATAGGGAGATTTGTGGACACACAGGGGACAGCATTCTGAGATGAGAGCAGAGACCTCAGAAAGGAATAGGGGAGAAAATCATGTTGACTGGGACCGCACAATACCCTGAGGTGTTCTTTCCCTCACTGTCCCTGAGAGTCATCCAGATAGCAAAATTCCCAAAGAGGACAGTGATCCAGGTACTGGTGACCTACATGGTTCTAAGGGTTCCTCATAGCTTGGGCTCTGACCTTATCTCTAAGACACTGAAGAGATGCTCCATCTTTTCTGCCAAGGCCCGTTTCTGGGCAATAAGCTCTTTCTGCTTCAGCAGGTTCTTCAGTCTTTCATCCAGGTTTTCTACTTCCTGTTCATTAGAAGATAGTGTTTTCAGTGGAGGGTTGCTCACACACATGCACACACATAAACTCATGAGCACAAGTACATGTAAGCATACATGCAAGCACACTGTAATACAATAACATGTTTAGTTTATCAGTTAATGCTATTGGTAAGGAGCAAAAACCAGGGATACTATTGAGAAGAAGGTAAACTTTACTTGGATGAGAGAGGACACATTGGGCATAAGAGATAGGCATCTCAGTCATTGAAGTGTCTATCTTGTAAACCTAATGCACAGACAGGTGGAACTGTGGGGTCCTGGCCTGTTAGCCAATCCTGCCTAGGAAGTTCCCCAGGCTGTGCAGTATAGGAATGTACCCCATCACAAGGGCACTGAATGGTGGTGGACTACATCATTTTACACCAGCAGCAATGTCTGAGGTCCATTTCTGGCAACCCTCAATGAGGCTGATTTTAACCCTGATTGAACAACTTTGAAGAAAAGCAGTTTTGAGTGCTGCAGACACAGCACATGGTGAGAGCTTTAGACCATCATGAGCCTAAGTGGGGTGCACTGAGACTCCATTCTCACCCCACAGCATGGCTATGGGACTTCTGCTGAACTGAGATGCAGCTGGAAGTACAGTGCAAGTCACAGTCTGTCAATGAGTGACATCTAATCCAAGCTCCAAGGCCAAGGTTAACCGAGCCAAGGTTAGGCAAAGTTGCAACGAAAATGATATCAGGCAATGCAGATGAGGAGAAAACAGGGTACAGAGAAGACAGAGTAAGCCATCTCACCATTGAGTGTGCAGTCACCATTCGCCCAGAGCAGAGAAAGGGCACAAACACTCAGCAAGTCTTTCCTACCTCTCAGACACATTGTTGTGCTGAGGTGACCTCTTCCTCACCTTCCCATACCACATTCCTTTGGTTTGCCTCAAAGACTATTCTTTCATATAAATTTTCCCCTCTACAATACCAGAAAACCCATGAATTAAAAATTTTTTTGTGATCTTTGGTTTTAGAGAGCTGAGTGGACATATAAAAAGATGGGCAACAGTATACATTACTTGATGAAAGCAAAGTGAGCAGGCACAGTGTTTTGTCAATAAAGTTGGATTCCATATAATTAAATGTGTTTCCTGACCTGAATAAGTAACAATACAAATATTCAGAAATACATACTCACACACAAGTGAAAACATCAATGCATGCAAACACATACTTGCACATATAAGGATCCATATTAACGAACAACCACACAAGCACTTATCACTACACATGCAGGAAACATGGACAACACAACACTCAGTTACTCATGGGCACATATGCCCACACAAAGGGACACTAACTTTTCAATAACAGACAGCAGACACAGACACACAAACATAGATGCCACACACAGAGATGAATAGAAATAAACAACAGCACACACACACACACACTATGACCACAGCAGGCCATAGAGAAGACTGATGCCTTTCAGAACCTTTTCTGTTGCAGGTGAAGGTAGTGGGTCCTGCATTCTGTCTAAATGAGACTCACTGATCCCACAGTTTCCAAGTTTCATAGTCTCTTCACAAAAACTACTGGCTCCTCCCTAGAAGTCCTTGATAGCTCAAGTGAAAGAAAGTGACTCAGGGTCAACACACAGGAAGTGTTAAGTAGATTACAGTGCATGTCATATGAATTGAGCCCAAATGTCAGTCACAAGGAGGCTACTGACATCACCTGCAGTACTTTTCAGGAATGCAGCACTCTGCACAACTATGAGAGGGAATCTGTTCTAAGATGCAATCACACCCACATGATAGTTAGCAACACAATGCAACAAGGAGATGCACTGTGGGATTCCATGTTGTGAAGCCAATGAGACTAATCAGACATTTCTTCTTCTATTATATCTGTGCAGTGAATGGAAGGAATGCTACTTTTCATTTTTAAAACACCTGTATTATTTTACATTTTCTGTTTAATACAGAAAACATTAATTCAAAAACAAGTGTAAAATGAAGAGAGAGCTCCTACATCCTTCTTCTTTCTGAACTATTGTAACTTGCCACAGTTAGAAGAGACAAAGCAAGATAGATAATCACCCTTGGAGGACACAGTTAATCCAAAAACTGAGGGTCAGCCCAATTAAACAAGAGAAAATTTCAGATTCCCTGAGAGCCCTGGGCCAGGGGAATAAGGGAAAGAGCAACTGAGCACAACACCACATGTCATTATCTAGTTTGCAGTCACACCCACCAAAGTACACACCTATTCATGCATACATCACACAAATACCACATAAACCATATGTGAGCAGAAAAAATTGAAGGGGACAGCATGCTGAATGAACAGTTGAATTTAGATTATGTACATCCAGAGTTTCAAAGAGACCCACAACAGAAATTTCTAGAGCAGCACACAGCATAGTCAAAATATGTTGAGGTGATTAGACAAAATGTCCTCTTGATGACTCAATTCTGTCACCTCACAGCCTGTGAAAGTTCTCGCACATCTCTGGTCAACAAGTCAGCTCCATACTGGATGCATCAGGGAGAACTGTCTAGCACCACCCACAGAAAACAGGGCTGACAAGATGATATTCAGGTCTGTCAGTTTGAACAAAGAGTTGAGAAAAGGGAAGAGAACACATTGGGATGCAAGAAGAAAGGAGGACACCACACCCCTAGAGTTGACAGTGAGAACCACTCACTTGTCATTGGCACTTGGATCTAGTCCTTGCAAGCTGCTTCCTATCTGTGATTTTATGAGACCCCTGAAAAGCAAATGAGCCACAGGCCCTGACCTCATCCATGAAAGCTCTGTACCAATCCCTAAGTAGCTCCCTCCATAGCAGCCATCCTGATATAATGGCATGTAGATGTGATATATGATTGGCTCATCTCTCTGAATGTACTGTGGATTCTAGCAGAACAGGAGAGTTTGCTTTCCAATCATTCAATGTCTTACCAGAGGATAATTCTATAGACAAACTTGTGATTACAGAAATGAATATTTGGATGGCATTAGGTGGAAGAAATTGGGTGAGTGCATGGTTACATGGTTGTTTCTATGTTCATAGTGTGACATGTGGACTGTGTGCCCCTACTGCCTCAGTCTACCTGATGCTGCTCAGCACAGGGAACACAGATCTTCTCCTGGACCTCCTTAAAGAGATTCTTCACCTCCTCGCAGGTCTCTCTCAGTGCAGTCTGTTCCTGCCAGAGCTGTCTCTTCTCCATTCTCAACTCATGGACGTTGTTTTTCACCTGAGTCAAATCTCGTAGGATCAGGCTATGGAGGTAACTGAACAAACATCCAAAAATGGTAAGCCCCAGCCAGTCTCCATTTGCCACCCATGTCTCCAAATACAGCCCCGCAGCAAAGCCCCAGTCTGCCAGACAGCCCAAGACTGGAACTCACAATTAGCCAATTCAGCATTATTCAGAGGCAGACAAATCAAGAGAATAAGCAAATTCCAGAAATTTTCAAACCACATTTCAAAACTCTGGTGAGAAAAGCTATACTCTGCCACTGAGAAGGGATGAAGCCCACGCCTGTGTTTACCTGTTCATGGTATTGGGAAAGCATCAACAGTAGAGGGTAAACACTCTCTGGCAGAGGGCAAAAGTCCCAACAAGAGTAAATTCTGTCTACAGATACCATCTCTTTGGATCCACACCAGAGCCTGAGAGTCCCTGAACTGCCTGGTATCCCCTTCATGGTACAAATCATTTTTTAATGTAGGGACTCCTATCTAGGACATCACTAGGAGGGCCTCAGTGTCTTTCCAAACTTAGGAAAAAAATTTGAAGAGGCACATGTCTATGGGCCAAAAGGGAGTTGATGTTAAAAGCCAGACAGGCAAGGACAAGCCCTCACTTTGACTCAAAAACAAAGAGAGCAGAATAAGCCCCTCACAAAATATATCAGGCACTTACCTGTAGGATTCCTTCTCCTCAGTCAGCTGCTTGCACTTGTTCAAGGCATCACTGATCTCCAGGGGCAATTTCTGAAGGTCTGACATCACCTGCTTATGGTCCTTTTTCATCATCTCAAAAGAATTCAGCCTGGGGTAGGGCATGGCCCCAGGAGAAAAGAACCCCATGAACAAAGGTCTCATGGATCACATGAAACCGGGCTGTCCTAGATACCACAGTGGATGCCACAGCCTGACACATATACTCTGGGACCTCCTGGAGTTTATTATACTTCCTATTCTGCTTCCAGGCTAGAATAGGCAGGGGATCTAAGGGGGTTATCCAAGGCTGCACCAGCACCCTCTCTGGGCTTGGAGCTATTGGTTAGCTCTTTAAGACGTCCCTAGGAGTCTGGACCCACCAAACAATTGATAACATTTCTCCTATATTCAGAACAGGGATTCTCATTTCTGTGTGCCTATTGGTACACAGAGGACCAGAGCACACAATCAGTATTTCCAGGGAGGAGTCACAAAGTCAGGGTAGATTTATAAACTCTAGAGGGCATTCCAATGTTACACCAAGGTGAGCACAGTGACCAGGAGATACACTGATCAAATTGTGGCTACCTGAGCTAAGAAGTGGCATTCCTGGAAACTGTGAGACTGGCAAAACTTCAGGCCATGCCATTATCACCAGGCTCCCAGGAGAGCACACACACACTCTCTCTCTCTCTCTCTCTCTCTCTCTCTCTCTCTCTCTCTCTCTCTCTCTCTCTCTCTCTCTCTCTCTCTCTCTCTCTCTCTCTCACACACACACACACACACTCACACTCACACACACACTCACACTCACACAAAACTCACTCACACACACACACTCACATACTCACACATACAAACTCACGCACTCACACACAGCTTCTACACTCCCCTCACGAACCATCAGGGTGCCCATTAAATGCAAGGAGTGGCAGTGTCTAGTGTATAAGCAAGAAACCACAGAGGAGCAGTGATGAGATTCAGGCCTTCCAATCACAACCTGAAATGGATGAATATGATCAGGCCCCTCAAGCTGCTACCAGGAGCTTTCATCACACAATCATCTGCTCATTGATTATGAAGTGTACACACAAACTCACATGCATAGTGTGTCCCGCAAGCCAGCACCTGTCAAGTCCTTTTTAAATGCATGTTGAGGGCTCACACACTACTGTCCCTGTCCCCAGACACTGACTCAGGACACAGGCTCTGCTTTTCATTTGCAGGAAGCAGAGGAGCCTGTGCCCACATCTCAATACTACCCAGATTCACAGTTCTGCTTCTCTGATGCACTAAGGAAAATTAGTTTAGGCACCAGGACACACTGAAGCAAGAAGCCTTGCTTGACACTATGGGGTCATGAAGGTCAGCAGAAAACTGGCAGTAATGACTACCTGTTGTTCAAATTTTTCTTGGTGTAACTGGCCAGGATTGTTCTCAGCTCAATTTGCTCATATTTTTTATGCTGTAGCTCAAAGGTAAGTTCCTCCGATTTCTCCATCTGCCGGTTTTGCTCAGTGAAGGTGAAGTGTTGGGATGGTGCCTCCCCAGTAGTTCCTGCAGGTAGATAAAGATGAGCGAACTGGAATATTTGAATGGCATAGGGCCAGGAGAGTCTATGCTGAGGACTAAGTAGAAGCTCAAGGAAGAGGAAATGGTAGGGACCCAGTGGAAGCCCCAGAGAACAGGACAACTATGCTTACACAGGTTTTCATGAGCTATGACTCTGACTTCAAACATCATGGATAGTCAAGTGCCTCATTCCCTGATTCAGTCCCCTGTCCCAGGATTTCATAAGCTGACCCACCAATGTATATTTGGTGGACAGTGTCACCTCATATTTCATGTTGTGCATATAAGTCCTGTTGTGCCTAGAGCTTAGCAGCACCAAGTGCTAATCACATGTGTCCAGAACAAAAGCATCTGAATATCTGAGGCCTTGGTGCATGGACAGGGGGAGTTTCCCCATTCATATTAGCATCAGATTTCCATGGAAACTAGAGTGAAGGGGAGCAACACCCCACCTTGAATGGCACACCTCATTAGTCCTGTTGTCCTTCCTTTCCTCTCAGAATGAGATTAAAGTTCTCACAGAAAAGCACCAGTAGTTTTAGCAGTTCATGGCTCTATCACTCTAACCATCAGAAACATTAACGGTGGGCCTACTCTGATGTAACCCAGAGAAGCAAGATAAGCCCATTGCTTCCCAGATGCTCCCAGATATGAGCCCCCCACACTGGAATACATATCTCAAGTTCCACATCTTCCAGGAAACTCCCTATCCACTTACAAAGACTCACTGTGACTTCCTCAGAACCATTTATTTCTCCATGTTTTACACTGAGACTGAAGGTCACCTTCCTTTTGCCTCCCTTGGGCTCCCCATTTTCATAGTTCTCTCTCCCAAGCACACAATTCAAGCATACCAGCACGTCTATGGGACCTGACAGTATACCCCACAGTCACTTGGTGTTCCCAGAGGACTGGTGAGATCATGGGGAACACCAAAGTCTCTCCACAATACATTACAATAGTCCAGAGAAGGGACTAATAGGGTCACTCGAAGTCCGCACCTACCTACCAAATAGATCTGCAATTCACAAGAAGCCATAGTGCTCTTCCCAGGGAGTACCCCAGATACATAAGGGAAGACCTTCACCAACTCCTCATTACATATCAGAGATCTCTCTCTCTGCTTCACTAGACTAAATTCATTACTTCATTTATGGAAGTTGAAGACTCACTTCCAAAAACATCCCAGGAAATGGCTCATCCTTTTCTAGAGATCTCTAATAAATAACAGGGCAAATAAAGTTTTCTAGGTAAATAATTCAGGATGATGGGGAGGAAAGTTCAATCCCCTGAAGTCATAAAGCACATTGTGGAGAATCCGCATGGCTGGTACAATATGTTTACATAGTGTGATTGCAGTCATCCTGTGAGAACAAGGTAAGTCCCATAATTGATGAAAATTACATCAAAATTTTCAAGCACATGTGAGTTATCATATAAGTGATCAGTCTGTGAAAGGTCAGGCTAGAGTCACTAGTCACTGGGACTTCCAAGTGAGCCCTTAACACAAGAGATAGAACTACCAAGAATGATGGTGATCCATTCCTGCACTACTGTTTTAGGAAAGATGTTATTGAGAAGTCACAGAGAGATATGCAAAGGAATTCTCAGAAAATCTATTTTTGTCATATACATGGGGATGTATGCAGAGAGTCACTGCAATGGTTCTTTTCCTAGAGCTACAAAAGAGACAAATTCCTTGATCACGAGTCTCTTGTTAAAATGTCCATGTCCTTAGGAGAGGGGACATAGCATGTTTAAAATACAATATTCAATGGAGCATGAGAAGAACAGGCAGATATCACAAGAGGAGAATCCTTGTCCCTAATCCTTTCCCAGAGCCCCACTTCACACTTTTGAATTTACTGGGAGTGCAGAAGTGAAGAGTCAGCACCATGATCAAGCTGGACAGCTAGTTCCCTGGAAATCTGGATATGTCTTCAAAAGTGTGCTTGGTGAACCCCAGAACAAATTAGTGAAGTGGGGTGAACTAAATCCATTCCGATTTTATGTCATACTGACAACCATGTTAGACAAGGTTAGGTATCTCATAAATACCCAATTCTAGATGTCAATGGACAGCACCTGCCCTACACACTACCTCATCTCAGTCAAACCTGACACTCTGAAGCATGCTCAGGAAATGACTGACAGATGAGACTTTGCCCAGGCAGGTTCTGAAAGACTAGACATGAGTCTTTTCCTCTGGGGATGTCAGTTGTTTCTTAGGGAGATGGGTATCTCGGTAGTTACCTGGTTTCTAATGTCTCCCTGCACCAGGTGTCCCAGGGCACAGACTCCTAAGACTTATTCAAAGCTGCAGAGGGTGTACCCTTGGCTTCAGAGCCTTCAGCCATGTGCTTTAATAATCCTAGATATAATTGCTACTGTCACATTCATTCAGGTAGCATAGGGATGGCCACATCAGTTACTTGATGCTTCAGACACTTCTGTTAATGGAAATGTCACCAAGGGGCAGATCCTAGTCAAAAGATTCACAAACCCATTCATACTAACATCCTAGGACACCTAGAGCTGGCAGGAAGGGGCAGTCTCTGCCCATGTTCACTGGCACTAATACCTCTCAGACAGAACTGGAGACCTGTGTGCCACTCACATCTGGGAAGTCAGAAACCTTAGGGGTCACTGGAAAACAGAAACACTTGGTGCCTCAGCCCTCCCAGGGGCAGTGATGTAAAGTGTAACAATCTCACACGTTACCAAGGCTCACTTGTTTCCCTATAATCACTTTCACAAAATCTATAGGACTCCAGTGGACACAAAGGACAGTAAAGGTAATGAAATATCATTAATCCCCCTGTCTCCTTATCCATTCTCACAGAAGCACAGTGTCCCCAGCACAAAGTCATCTTCTCAATTTCTGACTCTATCAAACTAACCATAAGGAATCCTTCATGCTCTTCAACATTTAGGAAAATAGAGAATCAGGATAGGTCTATTGATTCCAGAAGCTCCAAATTCCCGAGCCTTATCCCGGAAGGCATACAGAAATCACCCTATTCCCTTCCTTGAACTCACTGCGTCTTCCCCAAGTCCATCTAATTCTCCATGTTTTCCAGTGAGACCGAGGGCCAGCTTCCTTCTTCCTCACTGTGGTCTCTCCACGTTGTCCATTCCTCCTCTCAAGTATACTTCGCAGTCTGGAAAACATGTCTGTAAGTGAACCTTATAGGCAGTGAATGACCGTCCTAAAGGCAGTTGGTGTTGCTACAACAAGTGACATCATGGAATTCCAAGAAATCTCCAGGATACAATAGAATTTCCAGGAGGGACTGCTGATGTCACGGGGCACAGCCTTTGCTTTCTCACTTATTCATTCTCCCAGAACAGACCAGAAGATGGGGTTTCCTTTCCAGGAGTCTCTCCTGTGACACAGGGGAAGCCATTCAACACTTTCTCTTTCCAAAGTTAGAAATTTCTCTTTGCTTCATTAGAATCTTTTCACTACTTCAGTCATGGAGTTGAATGCCAACTTTATAAGCCCTGTCTAAGGATAGCCCTTCCCCTCTTTAATATAAATACCCAAAAATATGAGAAAATAAGTGTGCCAAGAAATTAGGTCTGGATGACATGGAGGAGGAGGGTTGAGTCCTTCCAAATGAAAGACTAATGTAAGAAGCCTAAGGTTAAGAAAGGTGGCCATTAGAAATATCTAAGCAGAGGCAGACACCGACAGCTATACATTGAACTGAACTCTGGGACCCAGTGACAGAGAGGGAGGAATGATCAGCAAAGGAGTCACAAGACTGGAGTTGTGAAACCCACAGAAACTGCCGACCTGAACAAGGTTTAGCTCTTGACCCCTGACTGATGGCTGGGAGAGATTCAGACCCTCTGAACATGGTTGTCAGCAAGGAGGCCTGGCAAGTGGTGTGGACAGGATAAAGTTAGGGGAGATGACCAGACTTGGTAGTCAGGGTGTGCAATCAGGGCCCACCTTTGCTGTGTGAGTTGTGGTCTCTCAGTGACTGTATCTCACTGACTAAGACAGACTGACTGCACAGCAAGGTCAGGATCCACCTTCCTCTACCTACCCAATACTGTAACTAGAAGTGTGTATTGTAACCTATATTTTTAGGTTTTTTGTGGGTTCTGAAGACTGAACTCAGATCCTCATGTTTACACAAAGTCTTTCTGCACTGAAACCCCTCTACAGCCCCCATTAAAGAATTATTACAAATGAGTTTTCTTTAGACATTAAATTAATTTTATAATTGCTGCTTATTATATACAAGGTTAAATTAAAATGACTTATTACTGTTTTTAAAAGTTTATCTTTCCTATATAATTCTTATACAGAAACCAATTGTTAGTATCATAGTAGACAGATAGATAGATGAATAACATACCAAAGACATCTATTCAGGACAAAATTAAATAGGACAAAAAGCCAGGAAAATGATGTGGCCATGAGATAGAAGGGGTCTCTACATCCTGGAGCTCAGTTAATTCTTCTCATCAAATGAGCATCAACAATGCAAGCCCAGTAAGTGTTCAGTTCAAAGGCAGCCAGTGTACATTTACTATCCCTGTCAAATACTGATATTCTTTGTTAAAATGAGAGTGACCCAGGCTCACAGTGTGAATATATATGACCTCGGCCACAGCTCCATCAAGTACAGGCAGTTTCTACTCAGATGTCTTCCTGGTTATGTACTGGTATAAGAGTAAAGGATCTGACCTGCCCTCAGTTGTTTTGGATGCATGAGGAAAGGAGTAAAATGTGACTTGTGAATGAATACTGCAAGGCATTGACATCTCACAAACCATTATATGAGATAAAAAACATAGACAGATTGTGATGTCCCATGTGAAAGTAAGACAATACCTCTTTTTTATGCAACATATAAAACCTAAGTCTAAATGGATCCTAGATTAGAAATGTAATAACTAAGCTATAAAACATGTGATAAAATATGGGGTGTGGATGCTTTTGAAATGGATTGGGAAAAATCTTTCTGAGATATTATACCAGAAAGGGAAGGAAAATGAAGATTTATAAAGATGACCTTTACGATTCAATATAGGTCATCAATAATGTGAAAATGAGCCACACAATGGGAAAACGTGTTGGCAAATCACTTATTCGATAACATTCTTCCAACCACAATGCGCAAGCAGCTCCATACTACAGTGATAAATGAAAAAAGACATGGCTAAAAGTGAGAAACATGTGGATAAACACTCCTCCAAGTAAGATGTGGGAATTATCGATACCCGCATGAAAGATTGCTGAACACCAGGAGATCCTAGAGAAGGGCAAACTCCATCAAGACACCTCACCACCCCCACGAAACAGAAAACATGATAGAAATAATAGATTAGGTTTTTTCTACAGTGTGGTAAAAGTAGAATCCCCATACAGTGTTCATGAAAAAGGAAAAAAATGTAGCTCTTTTGGGAAACAGCAATTCATTTCCTAATAATATCTAAAAAGAGAAAGAATGTATCACATAAGTAGTATCTAAGTGTTCATATCCACATATTTATAACAGTCCAAGATCTGTCAACTGATGAATGGAAATATATATCCTACACATGGAATCCAGTGTTGTATGGCAATGGAGAGGAATGACATACTGATTCATGCTACAAAACGCACTTCAAAATAAAGAAAATCAATTGAGATGCGACCTGCAACAGACCACATGGAATAGATGTATATTTCTATGAGATAGTTATTATACAAAATTCTATCAGTGGCAGGATTGGAGTGACAGATAGGGGGACTATTCTAGGTGTGGAGTTTGTTTTTGTGCTGGGGAATTTTGTTAAAATCTGTTGGATGATGCCTAGATAGTTCTGTGAGTAAAACCATAATCACTGAATACACTTTAAATGGCTGAATTGTGCAGTGTCTGATATTTCAATAGAACATTCAAAATACACACTAACAAATGGAGGAACTTTACTTCTGACAGTAGACATTCATGAAGTAAAAATAAAAATCTACCTTCCAAGACTATTATGACTTTGTCCATTTTGTTTCTGTCGTCTTGGTTGAAACACCGAATGTTTCTTCCCTAGAGCTCTCACAGCCTATTGGCTAGACTTCAGCTTCTGTCCTTCCTGGAAACTGTTTTTAGAAGTAGTTATTTATACACTGTCCTGCTTTTTTTATACTGGTGAAATAATATCTGACCAAAACCACATGAGGAATAAAGGTTCATTTGGCTTAGAGGTTACAGTCCGTCGTCAAGGGAACAGTCTGTCATCAATTGAAGCCAGGTCAGGAAGTCAAGGCTGAAGTCAGGAACTGAACTAGAACCATAGAGGAATGCTATTTATTGGCTTGATCCTCATGTGTCACTCAGCCTGTTGATTTTATGCAACTCAGAACTAGACTGGGAGTCCCACTGCCCACAGTGGGTTTTACGCTCTCACATTGATCATTAACCAAGAAAATAATTCACAGATTTGCCTGCATGCCAATGTGATCTGCATTTTTTCAGTTAAAGTTCTCTCTTTCCAGAGGATGCTTTATTTTTTCAAATTCACATAAATGAGCACAGACTGATCCTTTTTCTTCTTGAAACACAAACCATCACTATCTAACCTTAACCTTTTTTGTCTGTCCCCAAAAGGTAATTATAATACTACAATATAGAACATAGTATAAATTTAAAAGTTCAAAGTTTATTTAAAATATACAATGTTCCTTTAAAATTTCAGTTTTTCAAGTAAGGTTTCCTATAAAATCCATAGGAATGTATATATTTCTGTGTGCACTATGTGTTTTGGTGGTGGTGGTTTGTGTGTGTGTGTGTGTGAGTGTGTGTGTGTGTGAAGTGCATATGTAGGATGTGGTGTATATGATACATATGTGAATGTGTGTGTGCATGTGGTGTATGTGTGTGTGTGCTTTATGTGTCAATCGTGTGTGTGATGATTGTGTGTTCATTGCTTTGAATGATGTGTATGTAAGACTGTGTAATGCGTCTGTGGGTGTGTGTTTCTGTTCAGTTGTGTGAGTGAAGGCATTCATGCAACCTGGTGAATGTATGGTGGTCAGAGAGCACCTTAAAGCATGGATTTTTACACTCTACCTTCTTTAAGAAGGGGTCTCATCTTCAGTACTGCAGGTTAGCTTTCTCCAGGAGCTTCCTGGTATTGGGTTCTGTCTTTATTTCCAATCTTACTCTAGAGTAGTGGTTCTCAACCTTCCTAATGTTGTTTCCCTTTAATATAATTCCTTATATTGCGGTGATACCAATCATAAGGTTATTTTCATTACTACTTCATAATTGTAACAATTATACTTTTATTATTCATAATATAAATATTTGATATTTCTAATAGTCTTAAAAGACTCCTGTGAAAGGGTCATTTGAATCCCAAAGGGTTCATAACCAATAGGAAGAAAGCTGCTGCTCAAGAAGAAATAGGATTATGGAATATGCTGTCATGTCCAGCCTTACATGAACTCTGGGAATCTGAACTCAAAACTTCCTGTTATGTGCCAAGGGCTTTTAGACACTGGGTCATCTGCTTGCTGATTGATCAATATTTTTATTTAAGAACATGGTATTTGTATTTCAAATGTTTTTCTGATGCTCTTCAACTAAGAGAACTGGATTCTCTCAACACAGAGAAGTGGAGAATCCTGCTGTATTCCACCAGTGGCAAGAAAGCTGCACTGCTCCAACAAATGTGGTGCCCTTGGATTTCACACATGCTGGGCTCTGCAAATCACTGTAGTAAGCTGAAGTCAGCCTGTCTTTGTTTTTTATGTGCTTCCTTCAGACCCAACTTCAATAAGATTTTAACTCCTTACATCTCCTGGAAGTACTTGGACATCTGACACTTGTTATGTGATCTTCATTCTTCTAACACTTGTGGACTTGTGTTTGTTCTCCTTTATACAGTTCTTTAAGTTATGGAGAAATCTGAAAGAAATGGGAGTGTGCGCCCTCATGCATTCACTCTTCATAGTGTCACTCATAGGCTAAAGATTCACATACTACAGGCCTGGGAAAACTATCTCCAGGAAAGTTACTCATTACAGGAAAGAATATTTGAGAAAGACCAAAGGGAAGTGTTTCCTTCGTGTTTCTGAACCAAAGAAAATACAGAATCTGACTTAGTCAATGCATTCCATCGACCCAGGAAAAACTACAAGGTGGTCATCTTATATGTCTTTCCTGGAGGACGACAATTTCACCAGCATTGAAGGTCTCAAGGTTTTGTAGCTTCTCTTA